AGAAGAATAGAGGCCTGGTGCATGGGTAGGGGCTGTCTGGTTTGCCCTGAAGGGTGTCCTGGATCAGGGTGGGGGTCCCCACTGTGCCTGGCCAGCCATCTTGGCTGACAGTTAATTTGCATAAGGATATGCTGATTAGCCAATGGGAAGGGTAGTGGTCGTACGCTAATTACCATGTTTCTCTTTTATTAGTGTAGATTACCATTTATATTTTTATGGAAAAGAGCCTGTTACGATTAGATGTTCATATGAAGTCATTTATAAAATAACTTACTTTTCTGAACTACTGTAACCTTGCTTTTTTTCTATAGGGTTGAACAGCCAATTCGTTAAGTAAATCACTCAACAAGAATTAATTAAACTCTTTGTCCTCTCTTGTAGTTCATGCATTTACTTAGACACATCATACATGTAACTTTACCAATGGCTTTTTTAAAGTTTAGCCTTTCCATTTTAAAATCTGATATTAACTCAACTAATCTTGTTTTTACAGTAAATGAGTACAGCCATGACTGATATATTTAAACTAGAGGCCCAGTGCACGGATTCGTGCACCAGTGGGGTCCCTCAGCCTGGCCTGCAGGGGGTTGGGCCGAAACCAGCAGTCTGACAACCCCCAAGGGGTCCCAGAGTGCGAGAGGGCACTCTGCAAAGTCGCTGTAGCTCGGCAGCTTCTGCGTTGAGCGTCTGCCCCCTGGTGGTCAGTGTGCGTCATAGCTACTGGCCAGTCGGCCGGTCGCTTAGCCTTTTATATATATAGAAGCTTTTTATATATATAGATGGGATATGACAAAGCCTCTTGGTGCAGTAGATAACCAAGGCACTGACCTAGAGGGATCTCTCCCCACTCCTAAAACTATAATCCACACTCTTCTTTGGATGCCAGAGGATCTTTTCCTCCAATCTGAAGAAGACCTCATGAAATAAGGTATATTAGTTTCCTATGGTCGCTGTGATATATCCCAACAAACTCGATGGCTTCAAACGCCAGGAATTTATTCTCTCACTGCTATGGAGGTCGGAAGTCCAAAATAAGCGTCACCTGGGCTGAAAACCAGGTGTTGCACTGTCTGGTGGCTCTAGGGGAGAGCCTAGTTCTCTTCTCCTATGCTCCTGGTGGCTCCAGGCACTCTGTGACTTGTGGCCACATCATCCCAATCTCTGCCTCTGTTGCCATGGTTTCCTCTCCTTTTCTGTCCGTGTCAAACTTCCCTCCATTTCCTTATAAAAACACTTAAGATTGCACTTAGGGCCCACCCAGATAATCTCTCCTGCCAGGATCCTTAATTTGATCACATTTGCAAAATCTTTGCCATGTAAGTTAACATTTACAGGTTCCAAGAATTAAGACCCAATATCTTTGGGGTCCATTTTTGAGCCTACTGCACAGAGGATAAGTAAAAATCAATTTCTTGTCAAGGTTGATCAAAACTTTGTGTTTAACATACCTTTCAGTTGGCTTGACTAGGACAGCTAGGCACTAATTTCTATGTGATCTTCCTACACTCTAACTTCTTTGCTCATGGGGCCTGAGTACAGCCAACATTTCATGCTTCAACTCACCTGTTAGTGGAAAGTTTGACAAGGTGTTTTTTCTTTTTTAAGTTTCAAGACTTCCAAGTCCCTCCCTAGGTAGCTCAGTTGGTTAGAGCAGTGGTCGGCAAACGCATTAGTCAACAGAGCCAAATATCAACAGTACAATGATTGAAATTTCTTTTGAGAGCCAAATTTTTTAAACTTAAACTATATAGGTAGGTACATTGTTATTAACTTAATTAGGGTACTCCTAAGGCTTAGGAAGAGCCACACTAAGGGGGCCAAAGAGCCGCATGTGGCTCACGAGCC